TCTCTCTCTCTCTCTCTCTCTCTCTCTCTCTCTCTCTCTCTCTCTCTCTCTCTCTCTCTCTCTCTCTCTCTCTCTCTCTCTCTCTCTCTTCGTGGATCATTCACATTAGCTTGAACCAATCGCAATGAAGAGCGTTCACATTACCCTCAACCAGTCGTGATGGACATCTCCTTTGCTCGTGTCCAAACAGTCTTCACCCCAGCGAACAACATCAGGTGCAAGACGAGCCACGCACACAATCCCCCCCCTCCTATCTGTGTCAGCAACTGTCCGCCAAGGCATCCACGCAAGCTAGCAGAACAAGAAAAAACCGCCGAGCCGGCAAAGCAACATGATGAACTTGCCGATTTCTAAATCCCTGATGGCCAATGTCAGGGGAGAGTACTCCTTGTTGGTGTCATTTCTGCCTCCAGCCAAGGCACTTTTCTTGCCACCATCATATCTTTAATCTTCTGAGTCAATCTGACGCCATTGCAGAATGTACAAATGATGAGCGTCTGCGATGAATCCACTCCACTGTCTCAAACGACATATAATCGCGCAGACATTTATTTGCAGGCTGCACAATCCCAGTCCTCATGGTCTGAAGCCGATCCATCCGCTGACAAAGCGAGAGGCCAGAAATAGCCCGTCTCTGAAGGCATACTCAGACACATACATTTCGGACTGAATCCGGTACATCCCAAAAAGTCGTACGGTACTATGGTGTGAATAATACCCTGACTATTGCACAAACCAACCTGAACCAGCAGGCACTACAGTACCCCTCTGAAGTAGAGCAACAGGTGACAACAACAAAAAACAAAAACAACACATACAGGAAAAGTACACGCGTCCCAATCGCTCCTCGCACATTCTCTTCGCCGCTCCTTCCGACTCTCAACATGATACAGCACAGATCGCCAACCAAATGAACGTTCTCCGCACATTCCCCTTACTTTCTCCATGCGTTATTCTCCAAATACATTTCACTTCTTCACATCCATTACACATCCATGCATTCATTAGTTTTAAGTTGACATCACCGAGAAAGTTGAAGTCCGTCGGATGTCTGTCTTTACAAATTTCCAATCGGCGTGCACAAAGAGGACGGACCCATCGACTGTCGCCATCGTCGTGCGGACTTGAATGTTGTTTCCATGGCACCCAACAAAAGAAGAATCGCATACTTTCGACGTCCTCTCAACCATGACGACTAATTGGAGGCTGCAAGCTGTTTCTTGGGTGTTTGAAAGGGGACCCGCGCAAAGACGAGGAGGACGGACCCATAACTCTTACTTGTCCTTTTTGTCCTCCCCATAATCGTATTCCTCGTCATCAGTTCCGTGCCTCCCTGAAGCTCCTGAACCAATCGGACCTCTCCTGTCATCTGCGGCAAAACAGTACAGTCCCCCGAAAAACATGAGTAAGGCAACAATCTTTTTTTTATTTTATTTTTTATTATTATTATTAAAAAACAGAGCGTCACAGCTCTGGCTCCTACCATTCTGGGGAGCGACAGTCCGGTTCCTTTCCCCCGGCAAGCCAATATTGAATACATAAGGGACTCATGCACGCTCCCCCCCCCATTATGGCTGGGAGGCCAAGGCAACAATCTTTTTTAACCTTTTTTTTTTCTGCATAGTTTTGCTATTGCCGATTTTTTAAAATCGAAAACAGTTTAGCGATGATTGCTGATTTTATAAATCAACAAGATTCAAGACATGTTTTGCAACCTTCAGAGTCGATTTGCAATTTGGTGGGTGAATAGCAGGCTGGATGTAAGAGGACCATCTATGCCGGTTTATCAAAAACCATCTCCGCACCGAGTGGTGGTCACATCAATGATTGCTCTTCGTCATCCACAACAAAATAGGCGTGTGCCGATTTGCCGATTTGCAGTTTCCGATACACAAGCACTAGTAATAGTCCAGAACCAGACCTGCCCATCACCTAGTGGGCAGGCTGAGCACGTGCAGGCCAGGCACGGGCAGGCACCCACCCCACTTTGTTATTATTCCTGTTTCCTCGGCCTAGTTTTTTCCACACTGTACCGCAAACATGGGCACATACGTGCAGTTGCAGGTACGGACCTGAAAGATTTCCCATCTGTTAGAAAAAAAACAGCCCCTGAGAAACCTGAACGGCTGAATGTCCCTTGAGCCAACAGTTCAGCCCTGTGTACTCTTCAATCTTTGATTGTCGAGGAGTATGGTCCAGGGCCGGTAGAGGGTTGGCACGAAGTTCAAAAGTGGTGGGCTCCAAAAAAACTCAGTGGCCAGGCTACAGGGTACAATGGTAGGGTGGCAGCGATGCGAAGACATCTTGCTGCCACATGAGGCGGCCCCCAAGATCTTCCAGATACGAAGACGACGGCAAAAAAAAAGAAGAAAAAAGATGTGAATGCTAAACGGTGTTCATCTGCGGCGTCGTTTCTCTCTCTCTCTCTCTCTCTCTCTCTCTCTCTCTCCTGTCTCTTATACACATCTAGATGTGTATAAGAGACAGACACCAAGCTTGCCCAGGCACATCGTGAGGCCAGTGGGGATTGAACCCACGACCTCCTGAATGCAACTTCTGTGCCTTACCAACTGAGCTAGGCCTGTCTGTAGGCAAAAAGCAGGACCAGGAATTCGGGCCAGATCCCACTGGCAAAGAGGATTGGAAGAAGTGTCTGAATCTGGACCGTGTTCCACGCAGAGGTGCATGCAGAGAAGTAGATTAATCACAAATTTTCGCACCTGTCTACAAACACATCCACATTCAGACACTTACTACAATCCTATTTCGCACCTGTCTACAAACACATCCACATTCAGACACTTACTACAATCCTCTTTCGCACCTGTCGACAAACACATCCACATTCAGACACTTACTACAATCCTCTTTGCCGGTGGGATCTCGCCCTTCCTCGGACTGGAATTGGCGCCTAAAAAAAAAAAAAAAAAAGGCCCCTTGCGCAAGCGCCGCCGAGTGAAGCGGGTGCTGTGTCGAGAAGCAACAAGCGTCATTCCATTTTCCATTTATCATGACGGCAAAATCCCGCGGCCTACCGTAGCTCAGTTGGTAAGGCACGCCAGCGCCATTCAGCAGGTCTTGGGTTCAATCCCCATTGGCCTCATGTACCTTCCTGGGCAAGCTTGGCGCGCGCCACCTAGAGATAGGCCGTTGGTCACCCCCAGAGGCATTTAGCAGAGACTGCTGATGTTCATAGGGGGAGGGGACCAGAGGGGAGGCACAGCGATTGGCCCATCGAGAAGAAGCTCGGTCCTGATGCTACCAGCTGACCCGTGGCCGGTACCGCCCACCTGCTGGTGGGTGCAGCTCCCCCTTGTTCCCTTGTTGGAGGCTTGAGCACAGATGTGGCTGGTACGGGGTTCCCCGTAATGCTATAATGACAATAAAAAAAAGGCCTGAAAGGCCGTCCTCTCCAGATTTGACAGGTAATTGTCTACCGCGTGGGCGTAGGGAACGCAGCCCTAAGGTAGCCAAAGCAATGAGACTAAAAGCACGCACAAGAGAGAAAGAGAGCGAGAGGACAGAGAGAGAGTTTTGTTCCATTTATTGATATGAGTGAGAGAGAGAAGGAAAGAGAGATCGAGAGAGAGGGAGAC